TGAGGGCTTGCTCAGCTATAACATGAATACCAAATTCCAACATTTCTGAGCATTTCTCCCCTGAATTTTTCATTCTCAGTGACCTTTGTGATGACATTTCCTGCTACCACCTCTGCTAACCTGCAGCTATTGCAGTGTGGCTGCCGTACTTTCTTGATACTTTGCCCTTTAATTCTCAGGTAAAACAACATTCTGGTGAGTTTTTTTTTTTTTTAAACAAATGCTTCCTTCTCTAAGTTGTTCTTTTTTTTTTTTTTTAAAGAGAGAGAGAGAGAGAATTTTTCTTAATATTTATTTTTTAGTTTTTGGCGGACACAACATCTTTGTTGGTATGTGGTGCTGAGGATCGAACCCAGGCCGCACGCATGCCAGGCAAGGGCACTACCGCTTGAGCCACATCCCCAGCCCAAGTTTTGTTAATGAAAGTAAGAAAGAAGCATGTTTTACAATGATTTATGAATTGCCCAGGTGGTCCTTTCTAGTTTCCTTATTTTTCTTGTTTAATTTTTATCTCACTTGCTTATAGTGTATATCATTAATATTATGAATTAAGTTCTCTGCTTAATTATCTGATGACATCAATGAAATTCCATATGACTTCCCTGTAAGAACTTGGTTGGGTCCAAAGAGTTCGGTTCACAGATATTGTGACAATAATATTAATAATTAAAACAATTAACATTTCTCAAGTGTCTACTTATGTGCCAGATAGTAAGCACTATTTCAAATATATGAACCTATATGAAAGTAGAAAGACTAGTGTAATGTTTACCCATTTCCTAGCTTCAGTAGCTACCAGTCACTACCAAGTTAGCTCACTATATCCTCACCCACCTTTCTTCTTCTCTCACACTGGATTGCTTTGAAGCAAACCCCAGGCATTACATCACTTAAATCAGTGAATGTTTTAGAAGGTAAGGAATCAGTCTAACACAATATCATTTTAATGTCAAAGAACTACTAAGGTATGATGTCTCCTTCATTTTTTTKGGGGGGGTGTCCTTTTGTTGGTTACATCTTTGAGAAGTTTTGGTTGTGAATACACAGCCCTAAACATTTTTAAATTGCTTATTGAATCATAGACCAAAAGTATATTTTTAGAATATAATTTTAGATTTGTTAAGTAGTAAACTAATTCATCATAAAACATGCATTTGTTTTTGAGAGAATGCTAAATAGCTCATATCCTTTGCCTAAAAATAAACTTTTTTTCCCTTTAGTAATTATCTTCTTTTCAGTCCAATTTTCTTTTCTCTGGTATTCAACAGGATTTCAATTCCAATGAGTTTTTATTTTTCTATGTTCATTGTGAAATTATCCCATTGTTTTTTTTTTTCTATCTGCCTTTCAAACTGTGGAATTTAAATGCATTTTTTTTTTAGCGTCTTGGGTATGGTTCAGTGGTGAAAGCACTTTCCTCACATGTATAAGGCCCTGGGTTCAAACCCCAGCACTGAAAAATAAGTACATTTTTGGTCAGAAGTGTATCTATTTGGGAATTGTAAAGTCCATATTCTTTATCTCAGAGATTGCTAAGAATAGGCTGCTGTAACTATTGAATATAAGAGGTAGTTAAGTGGTTAAAAACATGGATTTTTGGGTTTGGACTCCCTAGTTCAAATTCTGATTCTGGTAGTTAATAACTAGCATGTGACCTTGGCTAATTTACTTAGTGTCTATGTGCCTAGGTTTTCTTGCCTGTAAGATGGGGAATGATAGTAATACCCACCTTATAAGGTTCTTGTGAGAATTAAATGAGCTAATAAATATCAAGTCCTTAGAACTCTGTTTGGCTTATAGTAAGTGTTGCATAGATAGTTTTATTACTATCCTGAAATCTATTACTTCATTTGCAATTTCAACAAAATTCAAAATAGTTAATTCACCATTTAAAAATTTCTTTCTACGACTTTCATATGAGCAAATTATCACCCAATTTTGTCCAGAGAATCTGAAAGCACTTTCTATATGCTCTACAGTTTCTTTTATCTTTCCTTTAATCTTTAATGTTAACTTACTTGAATAAGGGCTGGGGTTGTAGCTCAGTGATAGAGCGCTTGCCTTGCATGTGTGAAGCCCTGAGTTAGGTCCCCAGCACCACATAAAAATAATCAAATAAAATAAAGGTATTGTGTCCATCAACAACTATTTTTTTTTTAAAAATTTACCTGAATAATTAACATGTTAAGAAAAATTTAAAAAGTGTGTGCAAACTTGAACACACTTCTGTTCAAAATGGTGATTCTATTTATTGAATACTTACTATGATGCTAGGGTATTCAGCAAGGAACAAACAGAAAAATTCTCCATTACCCAGGAGCTTATGTTCAAAACTCAGAGCCAGGCAATAAAAGTTAAGAGGGCATGTTTTTTCAAAAACTTGCTTCATGATACCCTTTTAACCTTAAACATTGTAAATGTAAATATGGCTTTGAAGCAAATATCTGTTTTTTCTCTTTAATGGTATATTAAATAGGTTATTAATAATTTGCTTTTAAAAAGTCACCCTGTTTTTTTAAAGGAACAAGGTGGGAAAGTTTTGTTTTAGAAAAGAATGTAGAAATATGTCAACACCCTTATTTAATCCATTTGCCTTTCCCCCTACTGATAGCATTAATCTTTTTATTTAAAAAAAAATTTATCATGACTCATTCTTGAAGTTGGGAAATTCAGATTTAGTTTACCAGAGTTTCTCAGAATGCTCACACTTAAGACTGTGGGAAAGGATGCAGCTGAACAGCAATGTATTAACAATATGTGTTGAAAAATCAGTTCCTCATTGACTGTGTGCAAAATTTCTAATAGTTCTTAATGGCACTACTTCCTCTGTGGATTATGTAGGAAATGCTTTAGTCTGAATAATCATTCCCCAGGGAGGGGAAGCCTTCAAAAGAAATTCACTTAGAGAAAGAAAGAGAGGGAGGGAGAGAAGGAAGGAGGGAGGGTGGGGGAGAGAAAGAAAAAGAGAGAGAGAGAGAGAGAGAGAGAGAGAGAGAGAGAGAGAGAGAGACTGACACTCTGATTATTGTAGAATACTGAACTGAGTCAGTCACCCATATGTGCCTAGTAAAAAAAATAATTGAACATGGCAATAGTGTCTAATTATATGAAACACAATATGCTATTGCTTGTCACCACATTTTAAAAAAAAACAAAAAACACAAAACAAAGTAATAGTAATAATAGATGGCTAATACAAAGCTTGAGGAAAACAATGGTGGGAGACTCAGTTTTCATAATACCAACAAAACTGAAAATTCTAATTATCTGGATAGTTACAGAAGAAATAACTCTATCACGCTTTTGATGGAATTACCTAGGCTCATCAAGCACAGTGGGTTATTTCCCTTCAGTTACCTTGACATTAGACTATAGTCTGGTTTAGATTGGAGATGACCATAGTGAGCGTTAGTAGGGATGAAATGATGTATTCTCAGAGTTCTCTTTTGTGGTTTTCGACCTTGGACTATTGCATATGGTATGTATGTGGAGAATATGTATATTTTCCAAAGAAATATATCCCTACCCACTCTTTGTAATTTTTAAAAAAGTTCTCCTGTTGGTTATCTCCTAGCCCTGAATTAGCCCATAGCCCAGGCACATATTTTCCATTCCTATTAGAACTCACTTTTAGGACTGTGAATAGGTTAAGTTTTGAAAACATTCATTAGTGTTCTAGAAGAGATGGTTAATTTCACATGAGATCTTTATCTTAATAGAAGTCTTTTTCTTTTAAAATCAAGGTTGGCTCAGACCCAGAAAGACTGAGACTAAACAAATGCAATTTTCACATGCATACACTAGTAAATAAATTAAGAGGGAAATGTGGGCTGTCAGTATGCTGGTTGGGATGGTTTTCTAATAGGTTGAAATGTGGGGTCAGCTAACTTTTAAGGTGAGGATCATTTCTTTAAAAAGGACACACACACACACACAGAGAGAGAGAGAGAGAGAGAGAGAGAGAGAGAGAGAGAGAGGTAAGCTTTCCCAGAGAGAGAGACATTAGGGTTACTGAACACATGAGCTATAAATTGCAAGTATGCAATTCAAAATTTTAAATCTGACCTTCCCTGTGGTCCATCTTCAGTTTGCATGTCAGAAAGAGGGTACTTTTTCCTTAGCTTGAACATTAGTACTGCAAAAATAAACAAATAAATAAGCAAATAAATAAATAAATAAATACTGATCTCAGGAAAGAGGGTAAATATTTATAATGATGTTGGTGAGATTTTTGTTAGTGCAAAATTCTAATTTGTTAAAAAATAATATTCTTTCTTTCTTCCTACCACACTTGTGACTGAAAAGACCTCTCACAGTCCCCCATACTGTTAATTTTCTGTATGTAATTAGTAAAACAGTCCCAAGAGATAAATGTGTTTATTTGGGTGAGTCTTCATTTTAGCAGATTCATAGTGTTCTATGATATAGAATGAAGCACATAAAATATCTGTAGACAATTTTATACGGAAGTTCAGGGTGGAAGTGCTCCTTACCTAGTTTGGAGATGAGTGGGTTAACTGTCAACTACCAGAGGTGTCTAAGTCCTGGTTTTCCTGGAATGTTTGCATATGTTACTTTGAATGAATGACTTGAGTGAGAATACTAAGATTTTCCTTTTCAACCTTACCTCTTTCAAAATCATAATGTTATAGACATTCCTTTAGGTTAACTTTATTTTAACAACATTCAGGTACACAGTCAAATCTTTTATAACTGGTAAGTGATCTAGCTGTAACATACTAGTGTTGAAAGCTGCTTGGAAATGATCTCTCATTGTGAATTTCCCCAACAGTTGTGATACACTTTAAAAGCATTTTTTTTTTTTTTAAATCAGAACACTTATCAGAGAGAGCCTAATTGAGAAGAATATTGCATTGGTAAATTGCTCTGCCCAAGACAACTGCTGCTCTGTTTCTTTTCAGATTTTAAAACCTAAGTCCCAAATCACAGTCTGCAGTTAAGAGCTCCAAACAATAATTACCTCTGTGAAATGAGCAGAGGTCCTTAAAAGGGTCTGCCGGTTTTCCCCCCTCAGTCTTAAAGGGTGAGCAGTGCTGTATCCACTGATAACCCAGCTGCCTAGGAACTGAGTAAAGCCGGCTCCAAACTTCTCAGCTGTTGACAGGCTCGACTTGCTGAGAACACTGGTTAAATATAGCACTCGCGAGCTCAGCTCCTCAACAAAGTCATTGCTCTGACAGTGTTGTGAAGGGAGCAGAAGAGGAGAAACCTAATCTCAGAACCCAACAACACCTAGCAACAGTTGAAAAAAACTTTTAAACAAAAGTCGGTGGGAGATATACAACTCCCAATTTCTGCTGATCAGGATTTCAGGGAGAAGAAGCTGCTTTCCCCCTCTCTACTCAATTTCCTGCATGACTTCAGCTATTGGCTAGACCCAGGAAAGAAAGTGGGAAAAGCTTTTTCCTCTGTATTCTTTTGGGCTGGATAGTTTTTCAGAAYTCGAGTCTGTCCTGGGCTGTGGGACAAGCCACTGGGTTCTTCAAAGGATAAACTACCTCCATAAAGGACATATCCTTGGTTAAACGAGCTGCTGGCAGGTAAGAGCAAAATACATAGCTACTTACTCTCGTAAGAAATTTCTTTCTCCAAGAACAGAGTTCTCTCCGATTCTGTCTTGTCTCTTTCCTTTGATTCTTCCTGTTCTACTATGTGATAACACATTTAGGAATTATTATAATTATTTAAGAAAAATCAGTGACTTCATTTCTGTTTCAGGATTATACAGATTCCTTTTAAACACAAAGAATTTTATAATGTTTTAAGAGCCGTCAAACTATTTCTGCCAAGTTATCACTCTTCGGCAGGTAACAGAAGTATGACGAAAGACAGTTTTGCAGCTCCTTTCACAATTGGGTTGGCTAAGCAGTGGAAGGGATATTTCCCCAGAAGCAAAATAACTTTCATTTATTGAAACGAGCTAAGCCTCATGTATGGTAAATGAGAGGAAAGCCCCGCATGGTACTCCTATTGCTGCACTTGGGACTTGCTGTCTTACGTGTCTTTTTTTGCCTAGGTCTCTGATTACACTGGTACACCTTGTGCTGATTCTGACCTCATTACACTACAGTCACCCCAAACGCTTCCCAGTAGGCACCAAGTATGCTGTGTGTGGAATCATTACTTTTGCAATTGTTGAATATAACTACTCAGGAGCATGTTGTGTATATTTTAAAACAAATTGAGTCAGTGCTTTTATATAGATGTAACAGATTCTGTTTTAAAAACTTAAACTGAATTTATTAGAAAAGAATCCTTTCTTAAGTTGCGTGGATGTATATATGGGTGTGTTTACTATGGTGTGAAGGAAGTTCTCATTTTAAATGATGAGTTTATTGTCGCCCCCTTCCATGATTTGCTATGCAATTTTAGCAGAATTTCTTAGAATGAACAATTACTTGTTGAATCTGACAGGTTACGGCTGTACATTGGTGAAAAGGTTAGAACTGATACCTGTGGTCTGTAGTTAGGCTGACTTTGCACAGAGGATTAGTGAATTTTTCTAGGCTAAGGACACTATCAAAGAAGATATAAAAGCACATTTTAAAAGAAATTGTTAAAGTTTATTTTTTCAACATAGAGAAAGAAATTATCTATGAATTTTGAACAAATTGTTAACAAATTAGAATGTATCAGCTTTTTTTGGTAAATGTTCCTATTTTAAGAAAACCAAATTAAAACTTATATAGTGTTCAAGAAAATGAAATAGTACACACATTTCAGTATGTTTTATGTTTCATAGTTCTGATTACTTGATTAATTTTCAAACTAAGTGAATTTAATCATATGTAATGAATATGTACAAGTAGTGGTGCAAATGCACTTTGGTAACATTAGGACTGGAGAAGAAACTCCTAGTGCTTTACTGGAGATGAAAATCTTTGTCTTGAAAGAGTTTTGCAAAGTCAGAAATAAATGCTTTAAGTTTTTCTGATTTTTATCCTAGGAAGGGTCACATTGTTGGCTTCCAAATGCTTTCTAATGCCAAGACCTGCCATGAGTTCTATGCAAGTAATTTCTTTTGGAGTCAGTGGGACAGTTTGTAGATAACGGAGCACAGTGTTTGGCCCTGAGTGAAAGCCACGTTTGCTGATGAAGTGGAGTTTTGAGTGTCATTAACTGTCTTCATGGCTGTAAGATTACTCCTAAGAGTCAAGAAGAGCTCAAATTAAACCATGTGATTTCCTCCACTATGTGAACAATCAAACTCTTCATGACTATGCAGATCTGTTCTCTTATTTATGCAAGTTCATGTTTCTGTGCCATTTTGAAACCCTCCCCTTCCCCTTCATCATACATTGCCTTGTCTCCTACCATAAGAAGTTCCATTCTCTTCACCCTTCACCTGATTTTAATACTGCTCCCCCTCCTTCCATCCCCCACTGCCACCCAAATCATCTTGCCCATGATCACGGGATTAATTTCACTAAAGCATTACTGTGCTTGTCTGTCTACTCTTCAGTTATCTACTGGGACTCTTAGTTGCTGCCAAACACCTAGGCTGGGTATTTTGAAAGCCTTCCATCGTCTGGCACCTACTTAACTTTTCCAGTCTCTTTCCCATTACTCAGCAACAGGTCCATCTACTTCAGGTATTTCAGATTATGGTCCATTATCCAAACACATACCCAGTGAACATTTCAGTGCTTCACCTTTGCTCATGTTATTCCCCAAGCTTGGAATGCATTTACTCTCTGTTCTTGTGAAGACCTGTCTACTCCTGAAGACCCAGATCAGTGTCTTCTACCCTTCACCCTGATTTTTTTCTGGGCCTTAACTTTTAGAAGTGATTTCTTCTAGTTTAGACAGTTTGGTGCTCTGTTAGAATTAGGGTACTTTGGAGTAGGCTTTGCCTCATTAAATCCAGGGCAATTGTATAAAGTCTTTTAGATACAAGGTGTTACTAAATATCAGTTGGTCTAATGGTTTGGATAGGAGTTGTCCCCCAATAAGCTCATGGATAGGCAATTAGATTATGAGCTGTAACTTAAACACTGAATTAATCCACATGATGGGTTAATATTTTTAAAGGAATAGTGTGCAAGGTAGAGCTGTGGATGGAAGAAGTAGATCTCTGAGGCTATGCCCTCAGGAATTGTATGTTGTCCCCCTGGCTCCAGTCTCTTTTCTCTCTGCTTTCTGGCCACCATGAGATGAGCAACTTTCCTCTTGCCAGGCTCTTCTGCTATGATGCTCCACCTCACCTCTGGTCTAGAGCAATGGAGTCTGCCCACTGCAGACTAAACCTCTGAAACCAGGAACCCAAAATAAAATTTTACTCCTTTAAGTTGTTTTTGTCAGGTATTTTGGTTATAGCAATGCAAAGCTGACTAATACAATTGGCTTTGAAGTTTCTCAGTCCCATGAACATTTCGGATGTTCTGCTAACTTTTGTGGCTCTAGATTTCTGATGATGAGTATATCAAAAGTATGGATAAGTATAAAATTAAGAAAGAAAAGTGATTATACATTTGGTTAATAGCTTTTTACTCAAAAAATTCTGCAGGAAAGCCCTCATGGTTTTAGCATGCAAAGAAAAATTATAATTACAAGCAACTTTAACTATGACCATGTATCTAGTTGTGGAGATGATGTTGTATCTCTCAGAAATTTAATTGAAAGGACATCTGTCTATCTATCTTCTATGTATGCACCAGAACTTCTAAACCTCTAAATATTATAACTAATATACTTTTATCATTTTTTGCTGCCAGATTTTATTTATAGTGACCTTTGGTACAGTGCATTTAAGTCATAAATCCTTCTATTTGTGAGTTAAGGATTAGAATCTGGGCTTGAACATTAAAACATTTAAATATATATGATTCTTTTTCTGTATTGTTCTTCCATTCCAAAATATTTTTAAAAAGAGATGTTTCTCAGCACTACCTTTAATCATGAGAACTGCAGTCTTKCTGCATGATATCAAGCATGAATTATGCTTTCTGAAGTGATTTATTCTGTGTCTACCAAAAGAAAAACAAAGAGGTTAAATTTACTCTTCTAAATGGGCATTCAGCAAGAATCACTATGGAGTTTTTCAGTGGAATTGTGAAACATTTAATATATTCATTAAGCATTAATTCCCTATGGTTACATTTTTTACTTATTTTTTAGAAGTGAAACTTAAGAGTGTCAAGATCATTATACTGTCATGTGTAACTAATTGAAACAAATAAAAAAAAAGAAGTGAAACTTAGAGTATTACACATTCTAAATAGTGCTAATTGCATTTTTCTTTTTTAGGCAGATGAACATTTCTTCATGAGACAGGTGTCTTCTATTTAGGATGTTATAGAGTTTAATGCACATTTTCACTCATTTGTTTAATTTTATGTCTTTAAACTTGTGGATTTTAGAAAGGGGGACAAGCTTAGGTTGAGATCTACTTCAATATAAAAGTTCAAGAGAAAAATATTGGTAACAGCTCAGAAAAATGACATAAAAGTCTGCCATGTAAGTTTGTTTTATACTTGTTATTGTAATATATATTTATAAAGTAAAAATGTAAGCTAATAAAAATATTTTCTTTTCTTAAATCTGAGTTGAAGATATAACAACAAGGATATGTTTGGGAAAGGCAAATCAGTGCCTCAGATTCCTCATTGGTAAAATGAGAATAATAATGCTACTTCTTCATTGAGTTGTTTCAAGATTAAATGACTTAATACAATATATAGTTGTCTGGTAGATTTTCCAATAAATTTAATCTATTATTGCTTTGTCATCAAACTTTAAATGTAGTTATTTGTTTAAAACTTTAATCTTTGTTGTACACAAAATTCTTGGATACTAATGGTTTGTGAACTCAAGTTCATAGATCATAGAGAAGGCAGAAGAATGTATTGTTTAAATTTGGAATCTTGTTTGGGACATACTTTGCTGCTGGGTACTCTAAGCAGACACAGTTTGAACAGCAGCCAATAATTTCGTATGGAATTTATGTTTCAAACCCTCCCTTATCACTCAGCAGTCTGCTGTCTTATAGAAGCATTACTAAAAAGGCTAAGAAATCACCCACAGCAAAAACTGCTGTATGGTTTCTATATTTACATTTGGAGATAAAGAGTGTTTATACACAGTACTTGGGTGCCTCTTTGACAGCCAGCTACCCTGGGTGATGTATCAATGGAGACTTCCATGGAGAGATGCAGTATACAGTTATCATTCCTTATTTCTTCTCTTAGATAATTTGTTTTGTTTTTACTAACCTAGTAACAGATAAAAATGAAAAGACCAAAAAAGGTCATCTCATGCTAACCTCACCCTTACCAAATAGAATTAAACTCTTGTTATTCACTGCCATTAATCCTTTTCATTCTTAAATATGACAAGAAAAACATGTTCCAAGACAAACAAAAGAGTATTATATCATAAAGGTGTATGTGTATATACGCTGGCATGCTTAATATTCTGCATATTTAATTTAACAAAAATACATGAAGCACCCCCTAAGTAGGGAAATTTCTTAGTAGTAGCTTTAGTGGCAATAAACCTTACACAGGAGAACTGTAGCTTAGACTTTTTGATTTTACTTCATTTTTTCCCAGGTGAAAGGAAGAATCTCAAAAAGATGAGGCAAACTGAGTTTTAAAATTGTGTTTCTCTAGCAAAAACCTTGATCTAGAAAGAAAGGAAGGAAGGATGGAAGGAAGGAAACAGAAGAAGGAAGAAAGAAAGTAAGAAAAAGAAAAAAATGGAGATTACTTTTCTTGGCTTTACAGGTTACTTTATAGAAATTCTAGGGCAAAAATATAGGACCCCCAGGAAAATATATTGAATTGTGTTTTTTTTTCTTTAAATATTCAGTCTTAATTCTTCAGCTAATGAGAGAGGAGAAAAGACTATAGGCAAGACACAGTTTTCTCTGTGGTAGTAGTGAGGCAGTTTAAAAAGCCAGGTGGCCTGTTGTGGAAGAAGGGTGCATAAGGAAAGTCAAACATGAATTGAGCAGCCTTAGCTGGCTGGTAACCAGCTGATTGCAGAACCTGAGAAAATCCCGGCAGAGAAATGAAGTAACACAAACGTTAACCAGCACTCCATGCTTCCCTGTCCCCGAGAGCTTTGTTTAAGCACAGCAAAACTGAAAAGTCAAAAGAA